ATCTCCAGATTAATCACCGAGCTCGGCGTGACCCTTGACAACAGAAGCATCATCATTCAGTGCAATAACGCGCAGACCATTCGGCTTATTAATTCCGACGTGGCGCTCCTGCAGACCAAACTTCGACACGTCGACATCCATAACCACTGGCTACGCCAGGAAGCACTCGCTAACCGGATCTCGGTCCGGCATACTCCCACCACCGAGATAATTGCAGACGGCCTCACGAAGGCATTACCCGCTCAGCAGTTCCAGAAGTTCGTCATGCAGGTTGGCCTAGTGGATATTAACGATAAGATTCAAGAGAGAAGGTTCAAGGAGCTCACTGCAGAGGACTTTGTCAGAGCAGAGGAACAGCTTGATGGATAAGCCGAATAAGGGATCGGAAGGATAGCCAACCTGACAATAGGAATACGGACTGCACAGACTAAGCCACGATGGCCAGTCTAGGGGGGTGTGTTAAACAGGTGCTGGGGTCTCACGTGCAGGCAGGGATACTTTAAGATTACAGCCGAAATAGTAAAACCTCTAAGGGGTAGATTTCAACAGAACACAACATAAATACACCAATTCACATCAATGAACCGAATACACGTAATGTCTGACAACATCACCATGAAGTTCCTCACAACATTGAGTTTCGTCACAGCGGCGTTCGCTGCTAGTCGAACAACTGCGCCCTCTGGATGTATAACTGTCAAGAAGTCACCCGGAAGCGGTCAGTTCGGCACCGTTCAAGCTGCAGTCAACTCTCTCTCGACTACAGCATCTGGAAAGCAATGCATCTTCATTGACCAGGGTACCTACAACGAGCAGGTCCTTGTTCCTAGTCGCAGCGCTCAACTGTCTATCTACGGATACACTACCGACACTAGCGGATACAGCGGCAACAAGGTCACCATCACAGCGAAGAAGAGCCAGGCTGACGGCCTCAACAACGATGGCACTGCTACTCTTCGTGTCAAGGCTGCCAACTTCAAGCTTTACAACGTCAATGTTGCCAACACTTATGGACAGGGCAGCCAGGCTGTTGCTCTGAGCGCCTATGCCGACAGCGGATACTAGTATGTCAACTGGCAACCCTACATGGATTAGTACTGACTAGCTGCAGCGGCGTTGCTCTTACTGGATTCCAGGATACTCTTCTTGCCCAGCAGGGCTACCAGCTGTACTCTAAATGTCTTATTCAGGGTGCTACTGACTTCATCTTCGGCCAGACTGCTTCCGCCTGGTTCGAGAAGATCGACCTTCGAGTTGTCGCCGCCTCAGTTGGCTACATCACTGGTATGCTATTCATCCCCAAGTATTAAGCACAATTACTAACTCCAAGCAGCCAACGGCCGTGACTCTGACTCCAACATGTCTTACTACGTCTTCAACAACTGCAACATTGCCGCAGCTGCCGGCAACGCCGTCGCCAACGGTGCTTACTACCTTGGTCGACCTTGGCGCCAGTATGCCCGTGTTGTCTTCCAGAAGACTAACATGACCTCTGTCATCAACTCCAAGGGTTGGTCTATCTGGAACACTGGTGAGGAGAACACTGCCCACGTCTTGTTTGGAGAGTATGGCAACACCGGTGCTGGTTCTCAGGGTCAGCGTGCCTCTTTCGCTACCAAGCTCTCCTCTGCAGTTTCTATCTCTACTGTTCTCTCCGGAAATTACGCTTCCAAGGGCTTCTACGATGCTTCTTACATGTAGAGCATGCAAAAAGAGAAAGCTAAAGTTATAATGATGGTTGCTGAGTTGACATACATATGACTCATGGCCACCTACCATTCGAAGTACATATTGGAGCATTTGAGTCAATATTATTGATAGACTAAATACATGTGCCACGTTATCAATTGCTCATTTCCTGTGGTTATCTATTGTCGCTTCGTTCCTGGGCTGCTTCCAAAAGTGCTAGTAGTCTTCTTGGCCTATTACTGAGAAACTGTAGAGAAACAAGGTTATGAGGTACCCAATCATATTTGGCATAATTGTATTGGCTTATATAATCTATTTATCACATGCGCTTTGAGAGATACTAGGCAGTTATATAATGACCGTTTCGAAAGGCTAGGCAGGATCTGTGGAGATAGACAGACAGACAGACTAAAATTTCTGAAATTAGATACCAAATTCATTGATACATTGTTGAGTAGATGGCCGAGAAGTGCTATCAGTCAGACAAAACGTTGTAACCTGGGCTAAAGGAATAATGAAGAACATATACTAAACTACTAAGGCAAAGCGACCTGCTTAACTCACCAAGTGCACTTGGTCGAAGTGTAGACATAAGTCCAACATGTCTGACAGATATTCTCCCAACAGCCCGAAGGGCCACCGCAGGTGCCGGATGACTGCTTTGTCAGTTTGAAACATTTTCGTGTGCCACCAGAGTACACAACATGCGCCCTTTCTCTGTCTGAGTCGATACAAATTTGTTTGATCCAATCATACTTGGTTTTCCTGCAACCGTCATCGAAAGCGCCTAGGTTGTAATGCTTGCCGTCATCGCCATAGTAGACAGACGAATAAACACGAATGGGTGCGGCCCCAGTTGTAACGTAGGTCTCAATTCGAGCTCCATCAGCGGCGCCTAGCAAGGAGAGTGCGAGTGTTGCAGTTGGGAGAGTGAGCTTCATTGTGGCTGCGGGACTTGGTTAATATTGTGCAAAATGTAAGATCAGTTTACTTACGACTGAGTTTAAAAAGTTTTAAAACGTTGTAATAGTATAGACCAAGGAGGATTGTGTAAGCCGCTGAGGATCCATGGAGAAAATTCGTGGAGGAATCACTTACTTTATATAGGAAATCTCTCTCTGTCTAAACTAACTGCAGCTCCAAGAGCAGTCCAATAACATCTTCGTCGAATAAATCCCTCACATGTACTGTAAATTTTCGGGATGTCGGTAACCTCTTCATTAGGATACTAGATCATGCATCTCATGATGTTGGGCCCGGTGGACGGCCTGAAATGCGAGCATATTTGGCAGTTCTGACTGTGATTACTCGGAACGTCGGCACAAAATCGAAGAAAATCGTCGTTCTCGACTCAGGCTCTGCGGCACGTTATCAGGTCATAAACCGGATTGGTAACCACTGCGGTGGTATTGAACATGATGTGCAGGCATCAATGCACTGCTCTGGTCAATCCGACGACTAGAAGATATTTGTCTTCCCATGTGCCCAACATTCGCCAATTCTACGTTTCTGCCCTCTGAAACAAAGAGGAGAGCCTGGAGGAAATGTCATGAATGACTCCAGAAGAGTGTGAACCGTCATTTACTAGTGGACGTTGATGTAGGGCAAGCAACTAGGTGCTCAAGATATAATCACTGTTTGTCTTTTTTTCCCTTTCAAATCGAGGTTTGTATCCTTCTGAAGCAAGAGGAAGATTTGCCACTAGGTCAAGAAATGGGCTTCGATTGAATGGTGAGCTCAAAGAGTCTCCATGACCTGATGATTCTGTCGTTGGTTGTTGGTTGTTGGTTCTGTCTGTTGTACGAGGTCATCTGATCATGGGTGCAAGGATAAATGTATGTTGGCTCAGCTAAAACTCCAGACTAGGTTACTGCCTAAACAGATTTGTGCATCTGGACCTTAACCAGCGCATTTATCCTGTAATTATCCGGTGGGGCTGTCATAGCTGAGCAGGACCCTGATGCTCGCTTATAATAATATCATGGTAACAGCTGCAGTGTCCTGGCTTTTGCATCCTTCGCCGTCGTCGCCTTCTTTTTCTTCTTTTCCTATACAAACAGCTATCACTCCGAGATTCCTTCTTGCATCTTTTCTTCCAAAGCTGTACCCATTCTCTCTCGACTACACAAAGCTATTAGAAAGTCAAACCTAACAGGACACCTGTTGTGAGATCATGGACACATCATCGTTCACAAGTACCATTTACCTCGTATGAAACGCGGATGTCAGCTCCCGGCTGAGCATTCTGCAATTGCTTCTTTTGGTGGCAGCTCATACGCTCTGACGCTTCAAACAAAGGGAAGGATATTACTAGCTATGCCAGAAGGGTCTTCTCAATGGCCCGTTACCAGTATCACCGCTTAAGCTCTATTGATCATAATGCAGGAAAGAAGGTGTCACAGGTAGGCCTGAAACTATAAGCATTGCTCCCATCGAATTTATTAAAGCTAATTAATCGGAGCATACAACTTGTTGACAGCCTACTCATATCCTACTCCATCCAATCTGAACCTCAATTGCTATAGAAGGACTGCGATGATTTGCAAATTATGACAACATTGGTTGCCAAAAAGAAGAAGAGTCTAGCATTTAAGCCTTGCTAGGGTCGGCAACGGCAGGCTCAATGTGGACAATGTTGGCATGGGCATCAGCCTCGAAGAGCTTCTTCTGTGTGGATGTCTTGACGGGGTTGTCAGACGAGAAGATGTGGTCAAGCTCCTCAAGAGTGCGGTTCTTGGTCTCAGGGACGAGGAAGTAGAGGATGACGGACTGGCAAACACACCAGATGCAGAAAACAATGTAAGTCTTCCACGCGATGTTCTTCAGAGCAACGGGAATACCGAACTGCATGACAAGCATAGCAGCGTTGGTGAAGAGAGAGCTGAAGGCCATACCCTTGGCTCGGATCTCGTAGCTGAGGACCTCAACGGGGTAGAGGGCCTGGAGAGGAGTCCAGCCAACAGAGTAGAAGATCTGGAAGAGGTAAACCCAGGCCAGAATAGCCTTGCTGACAGGGGGAGTGACAGCGTCGGTTTGGGCCTTGTCGTCGAGATCGGTGATGTTGGCGATAGAGGCAGGGACAGTGACACCGACCCAGCAAAGAGCACAAACAAGGTTGACAACGAGAAGCATGGGGCGGCGACCGACAGTGTCAGTAAGACCAGCGCCGATAGCGGCGAAGACAATCTGGACAGCGTTCATGCCCAAGGCGACCTTGGTCTGAGTCCTTCCCTCCTTGATACCGGCGGTGTCGAGGAAAGCACTGAGATAATAGGAGACGATACTGTTGCCAGCCCACTGGCCGAAGAGAGAGACGAGACAGTTGCAGGTGAGACGGTAGATGGAGGCCTTGTTGCGGAAAAGAGCACGGTAGTCCCACCATCGCTTGTCGCTACCGTCCATCTCAAGATGTTCCTCGTACTCATGAAGCTGGAGCTTGACCCATTCACTATCAGGGTTTCCACGGCCGTGGAGCTTGACGAGGTTCTCTGTGGCAAGCTCCTTCTTTCCGCGAGTGTACAACCATCGAGGCGACTCAGGAAGCAGCATGGCGCAAAAGAAGATGGTGCAAGGGAACATGAGCTGGAGACAGACAGAGATCATCCAAGAGGTGTTGGTTCCCTCGTACGTCCAACCTCCGAGAGCAGCACTGCTAGCAACAAGAGCACCAACAGGCCACATGACGTTGTAGAGACCAGTGATGATACCACGGTGAGCAGGGTGAGAGACCTCGACGACGTAAGTTGGGCCAGCAGCGGCGGCGATTGAGACACCGAAACCGAGGAAGAAACGGCCAGCCATGAACTGATCGACACTGGCGGTCTTGATACAGGCGATCTGGATAATGACACCGATGATGATGATGAAAGAGCCAATGGTCATGCCGACACGACGTCCCCAAGTATCAATAGCAGGACCAACGGCAGGAATAGCGACGACGGAACCAATCTGGTACATGGAAGTGACGATACCTGGAGAGAGACAGTGTCAGTTTTGAAACCTCACAGCGGATCCAATTCGACGAGACGTACCAGCTCCGATACCCTTGTTATCGACATCGAAGAACTTCTTAAAGTCCTCGTTGGAGAGAAGAGTTCCGAAAAGCGAACCGTCGTAACCGTTGGCCGTAGAACAGCAGAAGGCGACCATGCTGGCGAAGATGAGGATGGGAGCGGCGATCTTGGGCGGGGGCTCCTTGATCAAGGCCTGTTGGAAAGCCTCATCACCAATGGCCGTCTTGACGATGGCGACCTCGTGCTTCGGCTACCAAAAGAAGTCAGTACTTGCTCAATTGCACTGCTGGGCAGAGAAAGACGCACGTTCTTCTCATCATGCCTATCGCTGTGGATGGATTCAGATCCCATGTTGATGTTTCAGCGCCGACGCTGTGAATTATCTTTCTGGGTGGTTTGTTGATTGATGATTGAGATGGGTCTGAGCAGGAAATAAGACTCTGGGATCCAAGATGGACCAAGGGAATATATATTAAAATTCGAGATGCTGGGGATGGTGGTGTTCGTCTGCGTCGCAAATTGAGTCCGTCCGTGTGCCTACCAACTGCTACACAATGGAACACGGTCTGCAGATCCGATACAACCCACAAAGATCTGAAAGGGCTGGTAAGTCTGTTTGTCCAGGGCCACGGATCGACGGTCAACCTTCCGAGAGCTGAATCAAGTGCTACACTCTTACGGCCTAGACTGATCTGACCAGGACGGCCAAGTCCTATCCCTGAACGAGAAATTCACGTGGGATGGGGAAGCGAGAATTCGGTATTGACGCACCAAGAGTCTGATTCGTTATCCGACAATGCAGTCATGTGCGTTGGACGCTGGATTCAGGTGTGCCAGCGGCGCTTAACAGTCGCTCGTTCGATGAGTAGTGATCGTGCTTCTGTCGGCTCCGTGGTCCGCCATGCATCTAACGTGCTGTGGCTTCCCTGGAATCTGGTCGGCTCACTTTGCGGGCAGCCGAGATGGCTCTTACGATTCCCCATGGAGAGGGATGCGGGTTAGACGCGGAGGCCAAAATTACTGTTCCCTCGTGCTGCTTCTGTTTAAGGTAAGGAGGAACTCTCTGTGTTGGCCGGCCCGGGATCCCGTTGAGTGATTGGTCGAGATCCTTGCTGCTGAAAGTGGACAAAAGTTCCAGACCGTGAGACTATTATGAATAGGATGAAGATTACGGGAATGCACGATGTCTTTTATTGCCGTTAGAGTTTATTATCGAGATTTACGTACATTCTGAAGGGTTTGTGCCCCAGACGATAACTTTTTCTCCACAACTTTATCGACTTTGATCTTGGTGACCTTCGATCTCACGATAAAGTAGGTCAAAGCAGAGCGTTTTTCACAAGCCTTCATGGTTAAGACAAGCTTACTCCCCCGCATTCCACACGACCAATTCTCCACGAATAACAGTCTCGTTTACGGCCCGATTCCTCCGACCCCATGGCACTTGGATCCCAAATAAGAAAAGACACATGCGGAAAAGCGGGATTGCAACCCCCCTCGATGATCTGGGGTAAGCTTTTCTTTTCTTCAGTCACAGGTGCCGAATCGGCGCATGTTTACCAATGAACGAATAAATCGACGGAACTCGATGACCAGCTTGCCGGCGCTCAATAAGGCTACCCTCCGAAATCGTTTGACAGATCATGGCGGCAGCGCCTTTGACAAGCAGCGGTAACGGTTTTCCACCACGGGTCGTTAATCGGCTTCATGGGATGACATTCCGAATTTTCACCTGAGGATACTGCTCTCTTCATGCAGCGTGACTGACAGCGGCCGGTCCGCACCAAAAAGAGGTCATTTCGTGGGTAAGGGTTGATGACTGACCCAGAACAACGGCTGCCCACGCCGCCCAGAGGCTGGGCCGATATCCCGTCAAGGATGCCTCTCTTGGCCTGCTTGGCCGATTCTAGATTATGAATAGACTATTTCCAAGCATCAGATTTGTGTCTTTGGGGGCTCGTGAAGATCTCTGTTGGGCAACCTTGTTACCATTCCGCAGTTTATCTTATCATTCCGTGATGTGACTGGGCTCCTAGGGGTTAAGGTTCTGTTCCGACTGTGCCTCAGGTTGATCCCGAACTTGTCAAAATAGCGAAATTTGTACAATCTCGGTGCTTGCCGAAGCATTCGAGACTTCAGCCAAAATCATGTCAATCTCGTGCCAATCTCCAGTTCCAAGAATATCATATCTCAACTTCTCGGAATTCCAGACAAAGAAGCTGTTCATCGCAATGGTTCATTCGTGGTTGCAAGTCTCGTGATGCTCCTGATGATGAATTGCTTTGGTGAAAGGCTAACGAAGCTCACTGGACAACAACGCAGCAATATCAAGACATCAGCTACTCGGCAGGAGCGTAACTAGAGCCAAGTGAAGGCTTGCCGACATAGCCGCGTAGATCTCCAAGTGGCCTTTCTCAAATGAGTATAAATACAACGATCTATTCTTGTAATGGTGTGGAAGAGCTTGCAGGACTTGGGAGCATGCAAGCATGGGCTGGGCCTTCCTGGGGTAGGATCTTGGCGCCCAGCATCTGGCAAGGCCGACTTTCCGCTACTTTGGATTTCCAATGAACGGCAGTCGATGACCTGAGAGGCTTCCCCGAGACGATCGCAACGTCTTTGGGTGGATGCACGGGGCGGTGATCCTGGGGCTCGAACTCTGATGTCTGGTGGCTTGACCGTAAGACCACTTGCTCGATCAAGGGCCTAGACTGAAACCGTTCTGCTGGCTTTGTTTCGTGGCCAAAAGGGTCCTTTCGGCGCAAAATGTGTCACATGAGCTGTTCAATAGACTCGTTCATCATGCTACTCTGCTTAATGCCAAGCCGTGTGTCAAAGCGTCTTAGTATTCGGAACCAATTGTCTGTTGTCCAGTCTAGCAAGGGCAGTGTAAGGCTTTCGCCTTCACCGTTCCAATTTCTGCGAGCCCTCCGATGTACAGCTGAAGCAGCTATAGTGACCACTTGGTGCGATAGAGTAACAACTTTTGTAGAAGAATTGGAAGTCCAACAATACATGGTTATGCTTGTATGACACTCAGACATCAATAAGAATTAATCAAGAGCCAGGACATCATATATCGGAAACTCATTACATATATCACCGAGATAGGTGTGCACAGTTCAGGTGCCACAAGAAAAAAATGATCTTTCGGAAGTGGTTGTCCTAATGAGAGTTTTGGAAGTGTTATGACGCTAACAGATAACATTGCAATTGGCACAGTCATGAGCACTATCTGTTAACGCACAAGCTCAACAGTCATGATTATCGGCATTTTCGACGCCGAATAAACATAATCAATATTAAAAGAGCTAATGCATTTCTCTCTTCGTACTTACTATAACGTCGAAAGATTTGTTGGAATATTATTGAATGTAAAGTGTTGTTCAGGGTAAGTTATCCTTGTCGCTTACAAAGAGCAGCATATCGATAAGATAAGATAACGATAGCCCTTTTCGGTCTCAGAAGCCAACACAGCCATCCATACATTGATTGATTGACTGGGATCCTGATGACAGCCAAGTCTCCAAACGATGTCCAGGAATCCACTTCCCGCCTTTCGATCGCTTGGCTGAAAGCCCTGATAAAAGCACTTTGACCATTATTTGTTTGACTCATGAAATACAATATTTGCGTGCAAGTTCTTGTCTGTTAGACAAGGTGATATGATAAGATAAGGTATGACGCGAAAAGGTCGCGTCGCGCTTCACGTATTGTAATAAATGCTTCTTATTGGTTAAAGCAAACGTGTTCCCTGGGCTCTGCTGGGCTGGGAGGACCTAAATCCATGCATGCCCCAGAAATGGCTGGAGCAGATACGGTTAGGGTTGGACGTACCATCAGGAGAAGCAGCAGGCGACTTGACAGAGGCCTCTACCGTCACTCATTCGACAGTCAGAAAGCGCAAAAAGTGATACGTAGTCATTTAAGCGGATGGTTCCAGTTACCAGGGCCTTCGTAGGGCTGTGCATCCTCGACTATCGATCAAGTGCCGAGTAACAAACTTTAGAGTCTGCAAGACAGCAGAAAATATCCTTATTCTGATGCTAGACTCTATTGAACTTGTTCGCGAATGAGAATGGCTTTCCCATGTGTTGCCTGTCGACTGCTGCGATTCGTCGTCTGACTTACTCGATTCGGTGGCTATTTCGACGCTACTGGCCGAGCATCACGGGAATCGGCAAATCTGATCATTGGTCCGTCCAACGCTAACCCTCTGAATGCTCAGCCATACTGTTGAGAGCGTCTAAGTCGATTGAAAGTATGTCGATAGACTTACTGATTTTGGCATTTGAATAGATATTGAGGATATTCAATCTTCATCCATGTATATATATGTCTAGATCTTGACTACTTTCACGACGATACCAGAATATTTCATTTTACTCCTAATTCCAAGACCACTTACAACAAACGCATTATGGGTATTCTAAGAGACACGATCGGCTCAGCTATAGAAGCTGCAGCAGAGAGTAGCCAGAAAAAGAACTCCACTTATAATTCAAGGCAAATGCCACCAACACGCCGAAATCTGTCGCCTTATGACGCATCTCCATCCTCGTCTCAAGCAGGGCAGCCACGCACAAAACAAAATTATAAGCAGAAGTCGAAGGATCAATCGTTTGAGATAGAGAATTTCCCTGCTCGAGATGGCTTCAACAGCCAACAACAGCCTGGATATTGTTATAACGACGAACCGCCTTCATATTCCTTGCATGCCAACGATGCACCCTCGCGCAGTCGACCTAGAAGCAGCCAGATACCTCCACAAATCAATATCTATCAACAGCCTTCATATAGCTACTCTTCCCCTGAAACCATGTCTACGAACATACGATACCCCTATGACCAACCTTCCTTCCAAAACACCGACTTTCGACCGCTCATCCTCCCTCAGATTGCCTTTGGAGCAGGAGAGCCCTTCTTACGAGGATATAGCTCTGAGATCAGCAAATATGGAATCTCGCGCGATCAATTCCTTCGGGTCGTGGATGAGATCAACGTCGCCCGTACGCCCAACCCGGAAGCACAATTATTCCAAAAGGGAGCTAACATTGCTGGGTGGTTCGTGTAAGTTGACTTCATCCAACGTCTGCGGCTTTGTAGACTGATAGATTTCTTTGTTAGACCCGGCGCTGCCAGTATTGGGCTTATTGCAGGTCAAATCGGCGTTGGTGTTGCTACAGCGTTCGGCCATGCATCAATACTTTCCAAGGCGTTGTCAAATGCCAACATGGAACTATTCACATCCAATGGACTTGAGATATGGTGAGCATCGCTTCAATACCGAAAAGCTTATGCTAAAGTAGCTCCAGTATTGTCATGACCCAAGACCTCAACATGGAACTGGGCATCTCGTCTTATGAACTACGTGACATGCCGTATAACATGTCGCCAGTGGATAGGTTGAACGCTTACGGACCACGAGTTGCCTTTGTGAACGAGATCCTACCAGATCGACCAGACATGGGCCGACAAGATCCTCTTGCCATGGCTGGTCGAGCACTCAACAAACGGTCGAATAAGAGGAAGGCCCAAGACGCGCAGGAGAAGCTAGACAAAGGCGAGAGGAAGGACAAGGGAAAACGACGACTTTTTAAGTCGTATGATGACATTGAGTGGGTAAGTGACTATTGCGGCTGCGATATGTCAAGGAGATTACTGACCTTTTCTTTTAGCTTGTGGTGAAGCTAGCACCTCCTATGAGCGCTGGACAATTGTATTGAGTCTGTGAAACGAAGGGCGTCAGGCTGGAATCGCTGGAGGTCGTATTTTGAAGCGAATTGCGTGTTCGATTAGAATAGAGTCAGCAGTATAATGGAAGAGAATCCAAGAAAAAGTCCAGTCTTGTGTAACAAATCCTTTCTAGCGAGACTTTTCTCAATTGGACTCAAGACAGTCATCAATTAGAGTTTGTGCAGAACTTGGCAAAATCTTACCAAAGCATCATTGGTGTCGCTAGCCTATGTGCTGTGACGCCCTGTCTGTTCAGAACATCTTGATGATGATGACCTTATTCTTGTCACTCAAATGTCGCAAGACACACCCCAAACTGGCAGCAAACAGCTTGTTTCCGATTTTAGCTGTTAATTTAAGGATCGTGGCCTTTCCCCCGCATTCCTTACTGTTTTGACCCCACCATGAAGGTTACAACTGTAGCTCTCAGAAGGCATAAAATTCGAGACAGCCGTATTCACAACCGACCCAACCAGAGCCCGTAACCAAGAGGAGAAGCAGAAAGTGATGTGGCCTGATGAGAACCTATGCGTCATATTATATTTCAAGTGAACTTATAGCCAAGATACCCAAAACGATGGAGCCAAGCCATGCTGTTCTCAAGCATCTTCATCGCCGCAGCCGTTTTCGTTGGTGCTATCTCCGCTGCCGCCGTTCCCGATACAAACATCCGTAAGCTCACTAACTACTCAACCAACACCATACATGGTTCACTTGTTGACTACGATATAGCTGGTATTGACCTCAACAAGCGAGCTTGTAACGAAGAGCAGTTTAGGCAGTGTACTCGCAACTGCCCTACCGGAACTGGCGGGGTCCCATTGGATGTCCTATTGGTAGGCAACAGTTTGGTATACCAGTGTAAGGCATAAGCCAACACTACTGCCCAACAGGATGTTGCATTGCGGCAGGCTGCTACTAAGCATGTTGCTGTCCACTTGAGGATCCGGGCGTCATCAAGTGCCTGGGGAACTGAGAGAGAAGGGACCTTGCATATATCAAACTACGGCCAACAGTCTTTACCTATCGCAAGAAGTATCCATGAATGCTGAGAAGAGATATTAAATACATGCTGCAATTGTGTCACATATGTACACTTCACAATGCTTGGACATTGTGATTCTGTTTGTTGTTACTGTTCTGTTTCGGATGAGAAGTCCACTTGCCAGGCAGTACCCTCCTGAAATGCATCTTGTCACTCATTTGATTCGTCCCGGCGTGTAATAGTGCGGAGGCAATGATGTCGACTGGTTATCTTAGCTGTTCAATGTCTTGAGTTAGCGTAACGAATGCGAACCTGAGCTAGGTAATCCGAATAATACGTCGAAACACGTGCCGGATACAGTAGGCCTTCCGATATGGCGGGACTTTTGCTAGTAAGCTGACGGTCCGCAGCCGTCGATCTCTCCATGTCGCCATGCCTGTATGGTGACAGGAAGAGAAAGCTCTTGAAGCACTTCAACGAAGCTTGGTATATGGGAATTAAGAATGTGTATAAAATCGTCGAGCCGCTGCATGATCGACTTTCTTTCCTTCTGTATCAAAACCCGCTTTTCATCAAACACCTATAGCTTTCCCACAACAGAAAATTATCGACATGAAGTTGAACAACGCCGCCCTGTTTGTCTTTCTGACAACCCTCCAAACAGTACGTCAGGTTTTCATTGAAGTTGCAATATGTATACTAATTATACTTTTGAACAGCCTCTTGCAAATGCACTTCCATCAGAGGTAAACTTGGGCCGCAGACACGGCTCGAAGAACGATACCATGCTACAGATCATTCCAGACGTTGACTTCAACTTCAACGTCATGGCGACCTTGGCTACAGCTCCTTACCAAGGAGCGGATATTGGAGAGATTCTCGTCGCTGCAAGTCAGATCAAGACAGGCGATTTCGAAAGCTACTATCAAGCGTACTACGATCTTGCGACTCGAGTTCATGGCCAGGCAGAAGCGATCGATTGCAAGAAGCATCCGGTTTCTGCGCGAAATGCGTTCTTCAGGGCCTCGACCTATTATCGCTCTGCTGATGCATTCTTGCACGGGAACTGGAGTGATCTTAGGATCATGTCGCTTTGGAAGCAGCAAGCTGACGCTTTCGACAAAGCAATGCAACTCCTGCCCATTCCAGGAAAGCGTATCGAGATAGAGGCTGATAACTTCACTGTCCCTGCTATCTTCTTCAAGACTGACAAACCTGGTCGTCGCCCTACTGTCATCCTGGGTACAGGATATGATGGGTCCATGGAAGACCTGTATCACACGATGGGCGAGGCTCTGCTGCAGCGAGGCATGAATGCTATCGTGTATGAGGGACCAGGTCAGCCAACCGTTCGCCGGTACCAAGGCCTTGGTTTCATCCCGGAGTGGGAAAGAGTCGTCACACCTATTGTTGACTATGCGCTTTCTCGAGATGATGTCGACGGCAGTAGGCTTGCGCTAATGGGATTCTCGTTCGGCGGAATACTTGCGCCTCGCGCTGCAGCCTTTGAGCATCGTCTAGCAGCGGTGATCGCCCTTGACGGAATCTTTGATTTTGGGCAAGCAATGTTCAAGCAATTTGGGCCTGGCATCGCTGAACTATTCAAAGCTGGCAAGAAGAAGGAGGTCGATGAAGAGGTTGCCCTAGTGCAAAACAACGCCAGTATGCCTTCAAATCTGCGATGGGGCATTGATCAGGGAGAGTGGTCATTCAAGACTCATTCTGCCTACACGTTACTGCAAAAGTCGGAGCGATTCGCTTTGAAGGGTATCGTGGATAAGATCAAGGCGCCTGTTTTTGTAGGAGATGGTCAGAATGATATGTTCTTCCCTGGACAGGCGAAGGAGTTAACGAAGCAGCTTGGAAGTCGGGCAACGTATCACCTCTTTGAGACGGCTTCGGGGGCCGGACTTCATTGCCAGGTCGGTGGTTACGTGTTGATGAATCAGGTTTCGCTTGATTGGCTTGATGATGTTTTTGCGAATCAAACCATGCACAAATGAGTGTCGGACATCTGCAGCGATGGACTAAATGATGCTCCACCCGCTGTGCATAGCCACTTTGAGGGACCATGACCCATTAGACTAGTGTAACTGACTCCGATTTCGCTTTCTACTCATTGACAATGGAATGAAGTTGCTTTGACTGTGAATACAGCGGAGATGATTGCTGTTGTTTGGTTGAATACCAGAGAATTGCCGGCACTCGGCAGAGCCTTGGGGTGAGATGACGCAAGGATCAGATGGCTTAGCGAAGGCCTCCAGTGGAATTTGGGCTCCTGATAGGTGCCGAGTAGCCGTGCTTATCACTGAACGGCCTAACGTTGTGCCAAATATTGAACTTATCCTAATCTGGTGGGCATTTCGACGCTAAGGAAGTAGATCCAAGAATCACCAAATACTTCAATATTTCGTCGAAACATTCGCCTTTTTCAACACATCCATCCATCACTGAATCCGTCCTCTAACCCCAGGACTTGCCAACAAGTACCAGATTTACCGATTGGACTAACCCGAAAAGCGTTCACCAGCCAATAAGAGACCGGTTATCTGAGATCGGGATCATGGTTTTCTCCGGCAAACCTTCACGAGCCTGCGAACCCTGTCGAGAGAAACGGAGAAAGGTATGGGCGGTATGCATGTTTTCTTACTAAGGATCTAACCATAGCACAGTGTGACCTAAAGAAGCCTTCCTGTTCAACATGTATACGGATGAAGATTTCTTGTTTTGGATATCGAGACGTTCACTCAGTCAAGATCAAGGATCAAACCTCTGCTGTGATACGGAGAGCGCAGCGCCAGAGATGTGTGGACGCAAAATCAGCCTCCGAATCCAGCAGTCCTTTTGGCGATTACAGCTCTCCAGAGCATTCTAGTCAGCATCATGATATGGAGGTAGACTGTCTCCGAATCTCAAGTCCTCCCGAAGAACTTGCACTTGGGTACTTCCTGTTCGTCTTCACACGATCTGGTCCATTCACATACCTCCATGAACACACAACTACTCTAGCCATCGACGATGACATAATACAGGCCATCCACGCCCCGGCTCTTGCATCCCTGGCTCTCGAACATCGGCGAGGCGACCTACTGCGAGCAGCGCGTTACCACTACTCCAAAGCCTTGACTCGGACAAACCAAGATCTAAGCGATCCCCGAGTAGCCATCCTTGACAAGACCCTTCTCCGTGTACTGTTGCTCTCAACCTTTGAGGGATTGGTTTTCGAAGGCCGAGGCTCAACGAGGAACTGGGAACTCCACGTGCAAGGTTCATTAAGACTCTTGGTAATGCGAGGAAGGCAACAGTTCCAGACTGAAATCGGGCGCAGACTGTTCCACCATACCGCCATCAATGTTCTGACAAATTGCATAATGCGATCAAGTCCGATAGCAGACGATTTCTTGCGACTTTACGAGTACGCTACTTCCGGCCAGTCGGGACTCGATGAAGCCAGGACTCGCATGATCGGATTCGTCTGTCAGTTCGCCAGAATGTCTGATGCAAGAAAAGGCATGTTGGCGACGGACTTTGTGAGGGAGTGCATGGAGCTTGACAAAAAAGCTGCCGAGTTTATCGATGTATTTTTCAAAGACTTGCCGTATGAAGTCGTCGATATCACCTCCGAGGAATACCGACAGAATGCTCCTGGCACAGAGATCTGCGCCTACAAGGACACTATTCACAGATACCAGTCTCAACAGTCAACACGTATCTACAATACCGCAAGGCTCATGAGATTGACAGTCAAAGAGTGGATATACAGCGTCTTCGATAGGAATCCCCATGGAGTCATCCTCAATGAACCCAGCGAAGACGATCCTCTGAGAGCAAGCTGGAACCAGCTTCCCATCAAGGCCGCACTGCAAGCCAGCGATGTAATTGACGACATGCTAGCTAGTGTTCCATACTCACTAGAGCTGTTGAATACACCGTTCCGAACGGCTTCGCGATATGTGGTCTGGCCACTTGCAAACGCTGCAGGATCCGAAGTTTGCCCTCCGCCTGCGAGGCTGTACATCATCGATAGGCTGAAGGAGCTGGCTGTCAAAGCAAACCTTGACCAGGCTATGCAGGCGGCGAATATGTTGGAGGAGAGAGTGCCGTTAGAGGACTGGCAAGTTAGCCTTGATGGTGGATGGTATGTCGGTATGCTAATGACTATTTGACAGGATGCATCTTCTTCATCTCTCGTAATGAGTGGACGACGAGGGATTTCTCGTAAAGGAAACAATAGAAGAATTATAAAGTTCCATGTTACGGAATCAGCCCACGTGGGCACTCGTGTATATTACAGAGTCAATCTTAAAGGGTTCACGAATACTCTGTTGCGCGCCCTTATCAAAGACGTTACTGCAAGGAATAATTGCGCAATTCGCATCCGCAAGAGGAATGCGTCTAGTTGTAAGCTACCGAGTAATAGCCCTATGGGTTTGGCTCAATGAATGATCTAATAATGTCCTTCGACCCGAGTTGTATCCACTACGGAGCCGCATGTCGGACCCGTGTCAGTGGTTCCGCAGAGGCTATGATACAATGTCAAACTCAAAGATAGAGGTCATTTAACACTCTTTTTCTATTGATAGTGTGCATATGAGCGATGCCCTATGTTGTTGACAAAAATTAGAGATTATCCTTGAGCATATTCTCGTAGAGGTTGGAGTGTTAGAAGCAAATGTCCTGCATGACCCAACGGTGCGGTTCGATTAACTCTCCAGGATCTATCCGAGAAAGCCAACTAGCAGGGTAAGAACGCCCTTGAATCGACATATTGTGGCAATTTTCATTATGTGATCGCTAGTCTGTATGGCGAAAAGCGAGTAGTGGGATAGGTTCATGTTAGAAAGTCGAACGCCTTTCATGCACGACAGGTTCTGGAAACCCAGTAACAATCACACATGGTCTTAAAATCTAGAATGGCTCATGTTTACAGACCCACATTGGCCAAGGTTCCCTGCAAACCTAAGATATTGACCCTGTAAGTCACTGGTCATCTTGCCGGCAACCGATTATCGACAGATCCTGCATACATATTTAAGTTCGCTGAAGGACGCCAAGATGATCATTTCCACTTGCTCTCACATTTAGATTTATCTTCTATCAGTATTCGTACTTAGCTCAACGAAAGATGAGTGGCGAGAAGCAAGTCGACCCGAAGGTCGCTAACGCAAGCTCCAGTAGCTCACTCAATGAGGGCGCTGTTATCTCTGGCCGAGCTGCAGATGAGACTCTTAATCTTATCGAGAAGCACGGACATGAAGTTGGCGAACTTACTCCCGAGAAGAAGAAGAAACTCAAGCGCAAGATTTACATCCATGTTCTTTTGCTTGTTACATTCATCGACTTCATGCTTTATGTCAGTCCGAACCGGGTCCCAAATCACGAATGGCACTAACAACACAACGATAGGTCGATAAGAGTACCCTGGGCCAAGCTACACTTCTGGGACTTTTCAAGGATACGGGCCTCAACAACTCTGAGTATAACAACTTGAACTCCCTTTTCTATACTGGTAAATCTCTATACACTCCGTTGCCTTCACAGCTGACTCTTCAAGGTTACATCATTGGACAAATTCCCGGTCAACTACTCATCCAGAAGCTTCCTCTGCGCACTTTCATCTCAGGTATCATCTTTACATGGGCCATCATTGTCCTCCTCCACTGTGTCGCCCAGAGCTATGGAGCCTTGATCCCTCTTCGTTTCTTCCTCGGCTTCGTCGAATCCGCGGTCATCCCAGCTCTTGAGATTACGATGGCTATGTTCTTTACGCCCGAGGAGCTCCACCAGGTTCAGCCTCTGTTTTACACTTCTTGCATCGGCTCGCCTATGTTCACTGGCCTTGTTTCATATGGCTTGCTGTATAGCAAAGCTAGCACTAGCCCGTGGAAGTTCTTCATGATCATCACTGGCGGTATATCGCTTGTCCTCTCGGTTATCACCTGGTTCTGGTATCCTAACAACCCTGCGACAGCCTGGTTCTTGACCACTGAACAGAAGGTCCATACCATTCGTCGCATTCATGAAACTACCCGCAGCTCGATCGAGCAGAAGACATTCAAGAAGCATCAGTTTTACGAGTGTTTGAAGGACCCTATTTCCTGGCTGTTCGCCTTCTCGGGCTTCACCCTCATGCTGGCAAATAACCTCCCATACCAGCAGAGCTTGCTCTTCCTAGACCTTGGAGTTTCTCCGTTAGGCTCTACCCTTGTTTGGGTCGCCTCTGGAGGCTTTGCCATCCTTGCATGCATCACAGCCTCGCTTCTGATACGCTTCTTCCCTGGACATAGCGCTTGGTGGGCTGCACTCTGGTGCGTACCTTGTATCGCAAGTAGTATTGGCATGGTCACCATTCCATGGGGCAACACTATCCCCATGCTCGCTTGTCTTCTTCTTCCGCCGAATTGCTTTGCGCAAACATGGATCATCTCTGTTGGCTGGGTGTCCTCCAGTTGTGCCGGTCATACAAAGCGTCTCACCCGAAACGCCATGTTCATGGTGCTCTATGGAATCTCAAATATTATCTCGCCGCAGCTATGGAAGACTGGAGGGCCACGTTACTATCCTGCTTGGATTGTCCAGATCGTGGCCAGTTTTACCTTGACGCCGATTCTACTACTCACTATCCGGTTCATCCTTTCCAAGAGAAACAAGGAGCGACGGCAGTGGATTGCTGAACAGGAAGCGCTTGGTAACCATGGTGAAGGATATGTCGAACAGGTCGTAGATGGTGAGGCTGTCAAGGTCAAGGTGGATGTTTCCATGTTGGACTTGACTGATCTGGAGAATAAGTACTTTCTTTATCCACTGTAGTCATCATTGGATAACGTCTCTCAGGATTTGAGCAAAGAATGTTTATTTTCCGCTGCTTGATTAAAAATGACAGTATTGATCTCCAGTCAAACGATGGTGAACCTTGATAGGTAGTCAAGTCATGCCTACTTAGACTCACAATCTCACTACTTGAATTCTCAAATGCTAGACAGACCACGAGGCTCTTTTAGTTCATGCAATCAATCTCAAGTGATTTCCTGAAAGGGTAGGTGGCAATCAAGCACATATCTGTAGCCTCCGCCTTAGAGCGACATCTCAACAAGCCCCACCACGCCCAACTTGAACATCCGCCCTGGCTAGACATGACCTCTCACTAGCTCGTTCAATCCCGTGGAAGGGCTACGCCTAGACGCAAATTATGATCGCATCTTAGTTTCTTGATTGTCAAGAAGTTATTTATCGATCGGCGAACGATAAGATGTCGCGCCAAGGCGAATGTCAATGCGATGCGGCGACATCATCGCGCTCGAATCTCAACGCCCAAGATCCACATGTTCCGTGGGGTTCGTTCTGGAACTGGGGTAGAAGGGTATAGCGAAGACATCTCAGTAAGCTATTATATAATGGATATCGAATTTTGCGATTCCATGACTCCACATGTTCGCCTTTCATCGACAAGATGCACAGTCAGTCGTATGTTTGTCACAGGGCTCCGAGCATTCGGATATGACTTACTTTATCAGATGGCCCGAAATCGGCCGCTGGAGAAGTGAAAAGGGAGCCATTTCGCCCTCAGATTCTTAGGGATCTGCACTCATGTCGTTTATATCATGGCGAACTACATGACCATGGATATCCAAGCCAAGACAGACGCTCACCCCCAGGTGAACGAATCGACGCCCTCCACCAAGTCAATCGAGCATGGCACCAACGACACTGAACTTGAACGCGCCCTCCATGGCCGCCATCTCCAATTCATCGCTATCGGCGCCGCGGTCGGTACAGGTCTCTTCATCGGCACGGGCAACGCCCTCGCAACAGCCGGCCCCGTCTCCCTCCTCATAGCATTCATCTTCGTCGGAAGTCTTCTCTTCGCAGTAATGACAGCCCTAGGCGAAATGGCAGCATACATCCCCGTCGCAGGCGCGTTTACAACATACGCCTCGCGCTTTCTCGACCCAACATTTGGCTTTGCCATGGGTTGGATTTATTGGTTTAGCTGGACCATCACGTTTGCGCTTGAGTTGACAGCTGCGGGACTGATCATCCAGTACTGGGAGAAGGGACTGAATATCGGTATCTGGATCGCTGTGTTTTGGGTGCTCTTCACTGCTGCCAATTTCATGCCTGTTCGTTGGTTTGGAGAGTTCGAAATGTGGTTCTCGAGCATCAAGGTCATCACTATCATTGGCTTCATTATCTTTTCGATTTGCGTCAACGCCGGCGTTGGAGACCAAGGATATCTCGGGTTCAAATACTGGAAGGACCCTGGAGCTTTCAGTGAGCATCTTGTCGAGGGAGATGTTGGCCGTTTCGTCGGCTTTTGGTCCGTATTAATCACCGCCGGTTTCAGTTATCAGGGTTCAGAATTGGTAGCCATCGGTGCAGGCGAAACAAAGGATCCGCGCAAGACGATCCCTTCAGCTATGCGTTGGACCTTTTGGGGCGTCTTCTCAATCTTCATCGCGACCGTGTTCTTCCTCGGTCTCAATATCCCATCGACGAACAAAGACCTTCTCAGCGAATCGCAAGACGCTTCAGCATCTCCTCTGGTTATTGTCGCTCAATTGGCTGGTGTTCCAGTACTGCCTTCTATCCTCAACGCGGTTCTGTTGACTGCTGTATTGACTGCTGCGAACTCGGATGTGTATTCCAGCAGCCGCATTCTCATCTCCTTAGCAGACTCGGGCCACGCACCGGCATTTTTGAAGAAGACGAACCGATTCGGAACGCCTTATAATGCCGTCGGTGTCTGCGCCGCTGTCGGCTTTTTGTCTTTCCTCAATCTATCGAACGACGGAACTGTTGTGTTCAACTGGTTCTTGAGCATTACCTCTGTTGCGGGATTTATCGCATGGGCTATCATTTCGCTCTGTCACATTCGCTTCATGAAGGCCTTGTCTCTTCAAGGGATTTCCCGATCCGAATTACCCTACGTTGCGCCCTTGCAGCCATATTTGTCTTGGTATGGTCTGTTCTTCAGCGTGTTGATTATCATCACGAGTGGATTTCAGGTGTTTATCGAATGGGATACCAGCTCCTTTTTCACTGCGTACATTAGCTTGATCTTGTTCATCGTCATGTTTGTTGGCCATAAGTTGATCTTCCGGACTAAGCTGGTTCCATTGAGTGAGATGGACATCATTAGCGGGAGCGATATCTAAAAGTATATAAGACGAGATATTCTGAAATAATGCAAATAATTTGATCTGCCACATGTCGAGCTATGGACCTTCATTCCTTCAAACTTGATCATCCTTCTCAGTGACGTTCCAGGTTAAATAAAGATCTCGTATCCGGTTATTGCCTAGCCCGTTAATCACCAGCGACAAATCGATTGGCCGACAACAGCGGAGAATTACGGCAGCACCAATGACATCGATCCTGTTCTCAGCCGAAGATCCCGGTTGCTGATTACCTCAGCGCTATTGATATGCTATCGCTATCGCGCGTCAACTTAACTTGGGTTAGTGAGATCTGTTTCCAAACAATTTCAAGATCCCCAAGGACACGAGGCCTTACGACATGTTTCGGGACGCGTCAATACATTCGTTGATACCAACGACGCTGCTCCTTCTCTGTCTTGATGCTGGTTACGTCTTGGCAGCTTCGGAAGGCTCGGGGCTTGATAGGTGTCCAGATTACGTCGCTAATCATGGTGAGTAATGTCGCATCGATCGTCATGATCGCGTTCAGTGCTGAGCGAATATTACAGCTCCATTAGTATGGCTTCATCCAGAAGATCGCTTCATGCCCAGCGATCTCTCAGCTCACATCGTCAACACAATACCGAAACTCAATGAGCAACCGATTAGTGGGCCTTCATCCATTGACCTCTCGAATCTCGGAGAGCTCAATAGCTACGGTGGTGAAGATGTTGCGCTCACAGCCAAGGAAGATCCTCTCACTTATCCCACTTGGATTTTGGGCGAAGCACCGGATGCTTCTGGTCGAATAGCCAACTCTGTACCCTGCGCCGTGATCTTGGTGGAGAAGAGCGAGGTTGACATCGACGCATTCTACTTTTACTTTTACTCATTCAACGAGGGGCCAAATATCACCCAAGTTATGGAACCGATCAATCATCTAGTTGGAGATGAGAACTTATCCTCTGGGATGCACTTTGGTAACCACGTTGGAGACTGGTAAGTCTGCTCTCACTCACGGTCAGCGGTTCCTCTAACCTCTGCTATCAGGGAGCACAATATGGTCAGATTTCACAATGGGACTCCTGTTGGTGTTTACTACAGCCAGCATGTTGACGGCGTTGGTTTCAAATGGGATGACTCGACGGTCAACATCACTGATGGAAGGGTAGGAGTAGTGTTCATCTTCCTTGGAATTCATTGACTAACAAATATCTCAGCCTATCGTGTACAGTGCCCTCGGTTCGCATGCTAACTATCCACAAAGAGGGTAAATAATAACATCTTTTACACAAACAGACACTGACCAAATCACAGCCACCAAATTCATAACGCGGCAATGTTCGACTACTGTGATGAGGGCAAGCTATGGAACCCAGCTCAATCAGCCTACTACTATCGTTTCAATCCCGATTCTTTCACCGTCACTCCGATTATTTCGCCCTTTGAACCGTCTGCGACTGAGCCCGCTCAGAACTACACTTCGTGGTTCGACTTCACTGGCCACTGGGGTGACATCAGCTATCCCGACTCTGACCCACGGCAAGAAACAGTGCCGCACTTTGGCCTCAAGCGCTTCAACTCTGGACCCAATGGTCCTCGCTTCAAGCATCTAATTCGCAAGGGTCTTGTGCGTGATCATGCGCGAAAGATGGGCTGGAAAGAGTGGGCAGTTGGTGTTTTTATGTATTGGTATCCTTGTTGTATACGAGGCTGGAGATTATGGAGGTCTCTGGGGATCATGGCCGTGATGATGTCGGCGTTTGTGCTTGCAGTTGTGTACGGAGTTAGAAGGCTGAAGACGTGGAGGCAGAGACGGGTTTACACGAAACTGAAGAATGATGATATCCCGATGGAAGAATTGAGGAGGGAAGAGGAGTTCTTGATAGGGTCTGACGATGAGGAGGATGATCATCGACGATAGACGGGACGACTTCATATTTACTGTTCAAATAGGCACATAGATTAGACAAGCAACAAGACTTCCTATCATGCATCCCCCTTGACACCCCTATGAAGGAGAACTGAATATTTCAGAAGATTTCATACTAACCTTGCAAGAAGACTCTTGGGATGACAACGACTGGCCAGGTGACTAACCTGACCTAGACTGCCTATTCCACCCACCCTCTGCCTCGAAGATGTGACCAACCGCCTCGCTCACCTTGAGGAGGTGACGATCACGAAGTCTCGCACACACAAGAGAAACTCCAACTGGTAAGTTACTCTTCCCACGAAAACCTGGAATATTGACCACTGGTGTATGTAACGCCTGTCCATGTTAGCAAAATCCAAGATCCAACATAGATCCACTTACCGTCCATGTCGCTGCAAAAACAGGGCTTCCTGTGTTTCCAAGGCCTTCAGGAGCTTCGTCGAAGACACTCGGAACTAGCACAGCGACATACTTATCTGCCATCTTATCGAACCGGGGTCGTAGAGCTGCAAGCCCATCATAAGCATCGAGCTGGGCTTTTCGTGAGATTTTGTGCTTCTCTTGAACACCTTTAGCCAACACTGGATCAAGCTTATCTTTGTCTTGATAATACTCTGGCCACAGGCTCGTTGCACCCTCAAGGCGCACGAGGGTCAAGTGCCAGTCAATGACTTGGTCAAAGTCTGGACCGAGATCAAGCTGTTCAACTTCGGCGCCATGTGCTTTGAGAAGCTCTACAGCTTTATCCATAGCCTCGATCGTGCCCTCTCCAGCCAAATCCCACTTCGACGTCCGACATGCAGCAAATTTCAAACCTTTGATATTATCAAACGTGCTGTTCTCGTCATCGTGTAAAGCAAACACGTCACTTAGTATCTCAAAATCCGAAACGCTTCGGGAAAAGAAGCCAATAGTATCAACAGTTGGAGCACAGAACTTCTGTCCCTCTCTCGTGATAGCTCCCCATGTTGGCTTGAAACCGTAGATGCCGTTGAATGCAGCTGGTCGAACAATGGAGCCTACAGTTTGTGAACCAAGAGCAACGGGGATCTGAAAGTCTGCTACTGCGGCGGCTGAACCGGCTGAGGAGCCTCCTGGGGTATGAGCGGTACTATGTGCATTGCGAGTAGCTGGACCCGTGAAGGATGCGGCAAACTCGGTTGTTGTAGTTTTACCTGGAAGTGATGAGAAATCGGTGTTTAGAAAGCCTGGCTTGACTTACCGAAGATGAGGCATCCTGCTTGACGGAGAACCATGACCGATCCGGCGTCGATTACGGGATGATCGTTCTTATAGATAGTTGAACCATGTTCGGTCGGCATATCTGATAAGTTGTCAGCGACTGGTTCCGTCTCTAATAGAATGCTTTTAGATGTTGACCTTTGGTCAATATGATGTCCTTGATCCCAACAGGAAGGCCATGCAGTGGTCCTCGCTGATCCTTTGGCATTTGATCTAATGCTCTCGCCTGTTCCAAAACAGCTTTTGGGTCAAGATATGCCCAAGCTTTGACATCGTCATCTCGTTGCTTGATTCGCTCAAGCAGTGATGAAGCATACTGCTCAACTGTGAGATTACCAGAGCGAATGTTCTCCAGGATTTGTGTCGCTGTGTGGTGCCAGGGCTCCATATTTGAACAGGAGTTTCTAGAAGTATTAATTGGTAACGGGTATTGGTGAGAACCTGACTGAGCTCTTGATCCAGTTCGTGGCTTGAAGTTCCCCGCTTGCTGACAGTGATGCAGATCCACTGAGATGAGGGGGTTCGGATCTTGGCCCGACAATTTGATCAGGAACTTTCCTCACCGGACAATTCCTCCGTGACAGGCATCAGTTCGAAATCGCATAGATGAAACTTCATAAGTCTTATTTCTCATATATAGGCGCGTTCGATTGCAGCATAAAGGCCAGGTCCAGCCACTGCTCATGGATCGCTACACCAACCGCCATCAACAACATAAGAACTACCAGTCACTCCACTAGCTTCATCACTACCTAAGAACACAATCACTTTAGCTACTTCCTCCGGCTCTAGATCTCGCTGCAAACTCTGGCCGCGCATAACCTCTTCACGATACTCGGGCGTGAGAACCTCATCCCTCTGCCGCTGAGTCGCAATGGCACCAGGCATGACACTATTGATGCGAATGTTGTACTTGCCATATTCTTTACTCTGAGTACGCGTAAGGCCCATGATTCCCGCCTTGCATGCGCCGTAGACTTTGGCGTGTTAGCAGACTGAATTGTCAGACAGGAATGTTAACGTACCTGGAGTTCCTTGAGCGGGGATGCGCCAGGTGATTGACCCAAGATTGATGATGCTCCCGCTCTTTGCCTCTCTCATAGCCGGAAGAACAGCTTGGCTCATGAAGAAAACATGCCGAAGATTGGTGTTGATGTTTACTTCCCAATCTTCAGGCCTGACATTTTCTGTTTCAAGCCTGGCTCTGTTTCCAGCAGCCGCAGCATTGTTGACCAAGATATGTATCATCCCATGTTTATCTTGGATGCTCTTGACCGTGTCTTGTAGCTTTGGTAAATCTGAAACGTTGCAATTGTAGAATATGGGTGCTTTGGCTTGAACATTGGCGTCTTTCGCGCGCGATAAAGCGCGGTCAATTGTCTTTTTAGCCGAAGGCTCAGCGATGTCGATGAAGATGACCTGGCTGCCCTGTAGCGTGAACAACTCCACTGTGGCAGCGCCAATGCCTTCTGCGCCGCCTGTAATAAGCACGGTCTTGCCTCGTAGGCTGGGATAAGTAGCGTGAGTTGCCATGACTGCGAGTAGATGTGGATAAAAGTCAGAAATGATGTATTAGAAAGACGATACCGTGAGAAGAGTCATTCGTTTGACCCCTCACTGATGTCTTACAGATGCAAGCCACTTCCAAGTGATGTAATGCGCAGAAACAACGTTACAATGGTTCGTGACCTTTTTACAGTGACTCCATTGGTGTATGGGCGGAGCTACTGTAAGGAGTCTAGGCTCTGCAGTACGTATTGTCATCTTTTACAATAGTTTGGGCCGCTCAACAGCGTGACAACTGTGTTTAACACATTTTTCTAGCAAAAGTATGATGAGACATCGTCTGAATATAACAGAACGTAGCATCCATTCTCGACCTGCCCTTCTGACTTCGTTATACTTGGGCCTGATAAGGACCGGTGGGGTAAGATATCTGCTAGCTTCCGCTCACGTGCCTCTGAATCTGAATGATCATTTCAACTTCCGGGTTCCGTTCCCATCCCCATATCCAGGTCTGCGGATCGCAACAACTCGGATGAGTTTTATCAACCGTCCCGGCCTTTGAACGGTCTGTTTGATCAAAATGGAGCCCCGGAGCAAACAGGCTTGTGAACCATGCCGGTGAGATACCATGATCATAAATGTCGGACTCAATTGGGTTGACTCTTTGTGTAGGAAAAAGAAGAGCAAATGCACTGGTGAAAGGCCGACATGCTCATTCTGTAGACGACTAAACCAACTATGCACTTACCGATCTCCTGAGCCAGTAAGAACTGCTGCAAGAAAAAGTAATAGAGTCACCAAGAGGTAGAGCCGATCAAACCATTCATTGAGAGGAAGCTAACACAAAAAGTGTCCAAAGGGATGACTTACAGGAACGCTTCCAGATGCTGGAGTCACAGGTGAAAGGCATTTATGAGTTGCTTCAGTAAGTCCACTATCAGTCTTATGTAATGAGCGGTGACTAATTATATAGACCATCGCCAGCCTCAGCTCCTAACCCTGGTCCTTCTCCAAGTACTTCTGCTAGTATCCCATCTACAGGTTTGCAAGCAGAATACAGGGCAAGTCCTGGCATTACATCGTCACCATCGATAGAGACATCCTTCAATTTGGACAAGTATGTCGCCTTCGTCGCTCAAATATGATTGTTACTGAACTTTCCAGTCCAGATGTACCGTCGGAGGTTTTCGACCATCTTATAGAGATCTATCGTACCAAGCTCCACCTCCAGCCTCTACAACTTTTCAACATATCTGAACTCAAAGACACTCTTACTTCGGCACCTCAATACCTTCTCTACAGCTTCTTGGCGCTCACTGTGCGGTATAGCGCGCATGACTTCTTCAATGGCAAACAAGTCAAGGCGTTTGAGTTGTATGGCAGCTCTGCGCAGCAGGAAGTCGCCATACTTGCCTCTCAGGGCATTCCGAAGCTTGAAATTGTGCAAGCCTTATGCTTGCTTGTCCTAGTCGATGTAGCAGGTAGGTCAATTTTAGATGCTTCTCGTCGACGGTCAACTGACCCAGGTAAACCAGCTTGTAAGCCAGGCCGAGCGTGGATGAGCATCGGAACCATGTCGCGGCTCGAGGCTCTCCGAAAGTTATCCCAAAGTGCTTTCTACGAACCATCACCTGAACTTGAAGCCAGTCTGAGATGCCATTGGACCGTTGCTCTCCTCGAGCAAACATTCATGCCTCAAGAGCGTAGCAGTATATACGACGATGACGAACACAGATACCCACCCAGCGCTCGTAGGCCACCCTCACTTCCGCCCACGAATGATGGCGAGTGCCCTCCAGATCTCTTCTCAGACGATGCATCCGAAGATCTGGGAGTAACCGCATATTATATCAACGTTATCGAGATGTGGGGTCACCTCTCATCATACATGCATCAGGTTAGAATCGGGAAAGCAGAGACAGCATGGTCCCCCGGCTCAATGCATTACATCCTCTGTGCAGAGCTTTACAAACATGAAACCAAGCTTCCCCATAGCCATCTGCTAAGGAATGTCCATTTTACTAAAAGAATGGCCGTCGAGCTTCAGGATCAGCGCGAGTATTGGATACCGTGGCTTCTCATGCAAGTCGTTACTCATGCCATCACAGCTATTCTACATCATCCTTTCGTTCACCTGGTAGCTATGCGAGATAGATCGAGTGGACTACAAGCCCGTTCCTTTTTGCAGCAAACGGTTGATCAGGCTCTATTTAATTCAGCATGGGTGTTCAAACTCTTACGCTTGTGCGAGGAGCTGCGCTTCGAGATTTGTGACCCTTTAGTTGGGCAACTTGTAGCAGTAGTCGCAACGATACCTTGGCTATTCCAACGTGCGATTGACCCGAAGGTCGCAGATAAGGCAAAAAGCGATCTAGAATGGTGCAAAGGGTTCTTGGAGAGGCTTTCATCAACATGGCCGCACATTGCGCAAAAGGTGCGAACCTCCCAGCTACTCAACAAATCGGGACACTAACAGATTTTCAGCTCGAATTACTACAAAGCTTGGACTCTACCGCGGACAATAACTCACAGCCACCAGCTGGTAAGGGCATCTCTATTGTCTTCCATCCAGCTCTGTTTTGGGCTCTGGTAGATCCCAAGATCAGCCAGATGACGCCGCTATATGGAGAAAGCTCAAGTCGTCCGCAAGATGCTATGATTCGCATCTCAACGCATTACATCCACCCTTTGACTGAGACGCAGGTAAGCCAGTCAGCATCAAGCCAAAGAGAGGAGTCATTTGATCCCTTCATGTTTGATGTTGGGGAACTTGAGGAGGTGAATTTGAACGATATTTTTTCACAATTCATGCCAGACATCTATGACATACAGTAATTCTAGTCACCTATCACTTCCACTTGACCAAATTAATTATAATCATGTCTGTATCTGGCACGTTTTCTCGAGATGCAATGCTCAACTGGGTCGCAGAAATTATCTTCTTCTCCAGGTCGAACATCCTGAAGGAGTAGGGGAGGCAGATATCGGGGCAGTAGATAGTTGTTAATGAGAAGAAAGGAGAATTCGGGGTAAAAGAAAACATCGTTGGGGTTAATCCAGAGTTCTTAATGCACATTTACTATGGTTGTATATATAAATCTCAATCTCCTATATAATATAGATAAGGTATCGATTGACGGGCCGCAAGTTGGATTTGGTGATGAAGATCCGCTCACGTGCACGGCACATCGACACTGTAGATAGGGTCGCAGACGACTTCACATCCGTCCCCACCGGACACTTGGGTACAGTATATCAGACGTCAGTTTTCGACCAGACTCTCAATCTGACCTACCAAACAGCATCGCCTCCCTCCATCTCCTCATCATGGATCAGACCAGCAAGATTGTAATCATAGGCGCAGGCCTTTTTGGGCTCACTACAGCCAAGCAGCTCGCGCTAGAAGGTCACCAGAACATCACCGTCATCGACAGGCACATGCCGCCTGTAAGAACCCCAGCTTCAGTGACGTCGATCCGCTAACCTCTTCAGGTGCCGGATGGTTCCAGCTCGGATATCTCCCGAGTCATCCGATTTGACTATGCCGACACCGATTACTGCTCCCTTGCGTATGAAGCTTATCGCAAATGGTCTCAAGACCCTAAGTATAATGGTATTTTCTACCAGACAGACTATATCATTGCTGGTTCGAGAAGTACGCCTGAGAAGTCTTGGACAGATAAGACCATAGCTCAGCTTGATAAGCGACAGCTGCCCTATACAAGATTGGCAGATGCTGCTGATGCCAAGCGGAGATTCCCAATCTTGACCGGCGAACTTGCCCAACCTAACTTTGAGGGCTACTTGAACAAATCTGGCGGCTGGGCCGATGCGAACAAAGCCATCAAGCAACTCCGTGATGAATGTCTTGAGTTAGGCATCTCCTTCATCGCTGGCCGAGCTGGAACCGTTGTCGGCTTTGACAGCGACGCTCAAGGTGTGATCAAAGCAGTCAAGACTCTTGAGGGAACACCTGTTCGAGGCGATCACTTCATTCTTGCAGCAGGCGCCTG